ATTTGTAGACATCATTATACATCTAGTAAGGCTACAAAACCACTATATCATGTATCTCCTTGCAATGGTTTATTCCTCCTATGATATCTAAAAAACTTCTAACCAATCAACYGGAATCATAAACATTGTAGCCAATTAGGTGTTATTTATCAAATTTCATGGGTGGATTTTGATTGGTCAAAACTCTTCCCATACCATATCTTTTCCGCATCATAGATTTTCCCATATATGTATATATAGCAATCATGTTACCATATCACAAGTTGTATATAATTGTGTGTACCAACCACTCTTGAAGCATGCTTCCTTAACTTGATGGCTACTATCTTCACCTTTTCATGATTTGGCAATTCCATATTGAAAGATCTATTATATTTTTTTTTGGTAAAAACAAAGATGTGTTATATAGTACTCTTAATTTTTCACTTCAATATCTCAAAGATCACACTCCCAAGTTAGGAACATTATTGGCATGAGCACACCTTTGAACCATCAGACCAATCTTCCCACAACCGAACAAACAATGTTGCTTTAATACCACTCCCAAGTCTTTAACCAAGGACTAGAGATAAACAAACTTGAATGCTCTTTAAATTACATAGTGAACTAAAGTTGTGTTTGGAAACGATGCAAATATGTAGTGTAAAATGGATGCAAACACGAGTTTACCGTCTTACCAAATAGACTTTTAGCTGTAATGGATGCAAACACGAGTTCCAACAAAGCATATGCCTTTTTTTATCAAAAGCCCACTTGAATGCAAATTTACTTCTTTTTTGTTAATGTACTTTTACATCTTATTATCAATGTAAATATGCATTGGAAAATGTGTTTTCTGTCATTTGTCAATGCATAAATGTAATGTTGCCAAACACAGGCAAAAGTGAACAACAGTGCAAATTTACCCTTAATCGGGATTTACACTCCATTTGCATCATTTCCAAACGCAACCTAAGAAAAGAAATTAGACAGCCACACTCATTCAACTAAGCTCCAAGGTTCACCAACTTCAAAAGCTAGAGAAGAGGAGAAAGAGATAAAAAAGCTGAAAAGCTACTTAGATGCCTTTGCACTACATGGGAAGGGGTGTTTATAGTAAAAGCAAAGCCTAAAGATCAATCCCAACCATTGGTTCAACAAAATCTCAACCATTGATTGCAATTCGTGACCTTTCATTACCCCCTAATAAATTTTATGAATCTTTCCCTAAATATGACCAAATAGAAGAATTGTTTTGATTAAGGCCACTATAATCTCAATCCTAATCTATCACGTCTCTCATTTCCATCTTTTCCATATTTACCTATAAGCCATCAACAAAACCACTAAGGACTAGTGGGGTTTCAACAATGAGAACAAACAACTTTATCTTACATCAGTATCAACATCTAAGTAGGTGTTTGGCATCAGTGTTGGGAACATTGCATCGTTTTCTTATAAAAATGGTGTTGGGCATGTGGAGTTGTAAGTGCTTATTTTTTGTTTGGAACCAGTGCTGCCACATAGTCGTTTCCTAAAAAAAACAACAATGGTTTTATTTGGTATTAGTATTGGCAGCAATGTTTTCAACATTGATCTATATTATCCAATGTCCAAAATGATGTCACATCATTGCACCACTGGCAACAATGCGTTGTTTTCTCAAAAACAATGAATTTGACATTGCTCTAGACCACACTTTCCCGATTTTCAATGTGTGGTTTGGAGCAACGTTTTTTCTAGAAAAGCGGTACCAAACAATAGGGCATTGTTTGAAAGCACCACTTTCTCTAATGTGCATGGTGCCTACGTGGTGTCTTTTCTCATAAAACGACATTGATGCCAAACACCCACTAAGCATATTGCTGAAAGATCCCAAGCCACTTCTGAGTTCATACCAACCTCTAGTAGCACATTGTGCTACCCTTGTTTTGTAGTTGTGAAAATGCCAATGCACCATGATTTTTTTATAAACTTAAAAACCTAATCCATAATCGGTCACTGCTGCTACTGCCTGATTGTTGATGGCCCATGTATTCCCATTAAAGGTTGTGTGGGAATCAATCAATAGGTCATAACAACCACCATCATGTAAGCAAACAAGTACCACTTCATAACCGTGAAGCACAGGATGCCAAGGCCACCACATTTTTCAACGGTCTTCAATTAAGATTTCGAGTATTGTTATCAATGGTATTTGTCTTGAAAGTGATTCACAAATTCTAGTCATTCTTCTGTGCAAAAGATTATAAATCTTAAGTCTAATGTCTAAAAAGTCAAAAAACTATTATTTGGGTCCAAAATTTGGAATGAAGTAAAAATGATTTTTTTGTGTTTTAGAGGCTTTGAAAAGATAACATCGTTAGAGTTGAAGTAATTCTCCAACATCTAAAACTATGAAATTTATTATTTTACCCCTAGAAGTAGAATATTTGATTATATTATAAATAATAAATAATAATACTAAATAAAAATACACAAACAAATATTATGATTAGTTGAAATAAATAGTTGTTTATTACAATTAATAATATTTATTATTATTATTTAATAATAAATAACTTTTTTAATTATCATTATTAATAAACATAATATGAAATATTCTTAATACCAAATAAATATTATTATTTTATTCAAATAAAAAGTAATTTTATTTATTATTTCATAATAATTTTTATTATTATGAAGCAATATTTAATAATACTTATTTACATAAATATTATTATTAAATAGATGACATCAATGAAGGCATTAACATCATTTCATCAGATCTAAACCACGGTTAATTCTAATAAGTCGTAAGACCCAGGTCTTAGCATTTAAGACATCTTTTCTCTTTTTAAATGTTAGAAATAAACAAAATCTCAAACACCCCTTATATTTAAAGGCAAGTTTTTCAATCGTTAGATGTTTGAAAAGTGTTATCAAACACCAACTTAGTGTACACTTTGAAGTCTTGATCCAAATATATACTATTTATAAAAGTACAAATAAATGTGGTGGACTTTTGGAATTTTCACTAGACTAAAATACCCCATCTCTAAGGTTTGAATCAAAGATGGAGCAATGATAAATATGTAATTTTGTTTTCTAGTTAATGTTTATTAGGAAATGACTCTTTCTTTCTTATTTAATGCTTATTACAAAAAAGACACAAAATTACATTCTTTTTGTTCAATAATTGGAAACAAACCATGGTAATTGTTGAAACCTCCCTTGAAGTTTTTTATCGTTGCCCAAACCTCCCTTGAAGTTTGGTAATTGCAATCAGTTCCCCTAAACTTCTTGACACAGTTGCAAGTAGACCCCTTTTGTAAAACCCTCTAACAAGAGGCATGAAAATGTTCAAAATACCCATGTAATTATTATTGATGCTGGTTTATACTTAAAAAACAATATAATTGTTATGAACAACAAAAAAAAAGTGTAAAATTGCAATTTTACCTTTGAGCAATTGATATGAAGGGCAATTTTGGAAAATACATCAATTCCAAAAAAAGACATTAAAAGGAATTGGGATAATGATTGATATGAAGAAAAAAATTGGAAAATAAACATTTTGGTCAAAAGTAACTACATGGGTATTTTTTACATTTTTGTGCTTTTTGTTAGAATATTCTAATATAGGGTCTACTTGCAACTGTGTCAAAAAGTTCATGGGAAGTGATTGCATTTACCAAACTTTAGGGGGTTCAGCAATGATAAAAAATTTTATGAGAGATTTTAGCAATTTACCCTTTCATTTATTTAAATTAAAAAAAAAACTAAAAATACATCTTATGTTCTCAATAGTCAATGTTGGGTCACATTAACCACCATGAAGAGATTTCCAACTTACAAATGAATGAGCAATTTATTCCTTAAACTATTTTCTTATTTTTTCAAAAATATTTTTTAACCCATTTTCATTGGTTCAGTTATTGATTATTAAGGTAGCAGATGATTTTCTCTTCTTTATCCGCACCATATGGTGGGTTAATTTTTCATTTTCATTACCTTAAAGCCCACATCATTGGATGGAAAAATATATGAAATAATAAGTGATATTTTTAGTGGTTCAAGGAACTAAAGTTTGATTTATCATATAGAAGTTAATTCTTGCAAAGGTAACGAGAAATCAAATAAAATTTTGATGAAGATAACTGATAAAAATTATTAATTTTATTAATGATCCATAATAAATAAGAATAATAAGAATGTTATTAATTCTCATTACCTTTGCAAGAATTTTATTTAGACATATCTTTATATTAATAAACCATAATAAATGTGATAAATATGAATAATTTTTATAAATGTAAAAATATAAAAATGCAAAACATTTTAAAAATATATTATATATTATCATCATTACAAAATTTGTCACATATACAAATACTAGTCCTTTCTAAATGCGAGTTAGTATAATACATGAGGGCTTTTAAACCAACACTTCTAAAACAATGCAAAAGATTTTTTTTCGATTTTCCGTTTTTGTGCCACACATCAAATGGTGGCCCACATCTGAATTATAGAAATGTAAAAAGAAAATACATCTCTTAGGCTGCATTCGGCATTCCTTAAGTCCTTAAAATAAGGAATGCCAAATGCTGCATTAGGTTTTAAAAACTCCCACAAGAAAAAGCAAGGTTATTTTTCCATTCAACCTGAAAAAATTGTTTTCACTTCAGGGTATTCACCAACATCGACTGGTTTTGTTTTCAAAACAAAAATAACCGCCACCCGTTTTTTCTCCAGCAACATGTCCGTTGTTTTTGTTTTGAAAAATAAAAACCATTCATGTGGAAAACATCCCCTTCGTTTTGAAAAAGATACACGATTAAGAAAGCGTGTTGGGTTCTTTTTTCTTTTTTGCTGCGAGCTTTTGTTTCTTGTTGAAGCAACATTTATTAGAAATAATAAAAACAAAAAGCATCCACATTGGAGAACATTCCCTTGATAGATGGCTAGCATCATCTGATCACGTGGCATCGATGGTTATGCAATGTATCCTTCATGTGAAATGTGGAACGTTATTGACGTCAATTCAAGAATATTCCATAGTTGCCTTTATTTTGAAAACCCGAAATCAGCATCCAATATTCAAAAAGCTAGTGAACGGAGGGAGTAATACAGCCGATAATTGGACCTGAAAAACATAAATGATGATTAAAGGCATCTAAATAGAGTTCTAGATCTTATTTGGACCATTTATCAGAATCCCTAGGAAGTTTCTTTTTGATTCGTAAAATTCCTAGTAAGTATTTCCCAGTGAACATGCATTTACTGAATTTGATGAAAACCAATGAGCATTTCACTGCATGTGTTTTGTCTTTTTCAGAGATGGTTTTTGCGTCTCCAGCTTCAATTCAATGGGGTTATTTAACTGACCAACGGGGACTTCCTCAGGCAAAGTAGAAAGGAGAAACTTCTTACTGGAACCAACGTGGTTGCAGAACAATTTCAGCATTTTCCTACCTCTCATCCATTTCAGCATTATCTTCAGGTGTGTTTTGCTGTTCAATCCATTAATACCTGCTTCCTGCTAGAAAATAGGTAAATATGATAAACGCAAGGAAATACAGACTCCCATAATTATGACTACAAAGAGAAATTCTAATGAGACCCCAACAGATTGCATACAAATCCCAAAAGTCTCACACCTTAGCAATTATCAGACATGTAACATAAGCTTGTCATCTTGAAACCCCTTTTTCAAATGGTTAATAATGAAAATGCTATTCAAAACTGAGGGTGATAATGGGCCAGGCCCCGGCCAGGTTTAGATAAGGGCTTTAATTAGGTCTAAGCCTGGCCCGGGCCTGGCCTATGACATAAAATAATAAAAATTTAATTTTTTAAATTTTTTAAATTAAATAACATGTAAATGCAATACATACAAAAAAATTACACAAGCCAAAGTTAAATTGGGCTTGCTAGGCTTTAAGCCTATGGCACAAAAAATTAAGGCATGGGCCTCCTTTAATTGCTAGGCTTGATTTGGCTTGGGTATAGATCAAGGCAAGGCCTTCATTCCCATTCTTGAGCTATGTGGGACTTGGAATAAGACTAAATAGTTAGAGAAACCATTGAGTATTTTCCCAAGTCCCACATTGCTTAGGAAATGAGAATGAAGGCTTTGCCTTTATCTATATAAGGCCTTATTTAGAAGGACAATTCTCATACCTGAATTGACTCAAGTGTTGACATATGTGTTGACATGTTTCAATTCATAAATATTTATTTATATGTTAAAGTAAAATGTAAAACTTCTATAAAATAATAAACATTTAATATAAAATGAAATACACTTGTGTATATATAACATATAAAATATAGAGCTTGTTACAAAAAAATTAATAAAGTTTGATGAATTGGCAAAATCGGATATGTTCTCAAAAAAAATTGCAAAAAAAGTGAACAGGACAAAAAATTAACCTTTTCGGACCAAATTGTCCTTTTCTTTAACTTTCACAAATTGAATGCCACTGTTCATCGTCTCCCTCCTTTGAATGCCACTATTCATTAGAATGTGACAGGAATAAAATACCTTCTATTACTTTGTTTTTTAGATTTTTTAAGGAAAATATTTCAAACAAATAAAATAAATTAAAAAGCATCACCTTTTTCCAAAGACAAGAAGCAACATATGGAGCAAAGAGGAATTTAGACAACTAACTGGTTCACACCAAGGTTCAAAATTTCGATACGCCCAATACGTCGGTAGGGGCATATCGGGCTATATTGGTATTGTTTTTTTTACTTTTTTTATTTTTTTCAAAACCAGTTCAGGGGGGGCAGTTTAAGGCTCCTCCACCCCGTGAACCAGTCAGAACCCCAATACACCCTCTGTAGGGGCATATCAGGGAGCTCCCAAAACGATACGTATCGGCTGACACATGTTGATACTTTGAACCTCTTGGTTCACACCCCTAGCTTCTCTACTTGGATAAGCAAGTAAAAGAAAATGATAAAACAATGCAAGCAAAATAGAAACTAGCAACTTTTTCTTCTTTGGGATGACCCTGTGTTGACAATGGTACAAGTACTTTACCTTTTGGGATTCAGGGTGTAGTCAATACATCCCCTTAAGCTGAGCATGGATATCCATCATGCCTAGCTTGCACAATAGCTCCTTAAGTCTTTCTCTAGACAACCCTTTAAGGACATCTGCTAGTTGCCTTCCCAAAGGTATGTAAAGAAACAAATGCGACAAAATCCTTTCTCTTACGTGTCTATCTCAATATGTTTGATCCTATCATATTGCATGGATTGTTAGCAATATTAAATGCAACTTGATTGTCACAATACAACTGAAGTGGACCAATCACCTTTACTCCTAACTCCCCCTCAGCAAGATACAAAGCCACATTAATTGAACCACCCATGTGCCACATTGCTCTATATTTTTCCTTATCAATACAATCCAGTTACCGCAATCTATTTTTTACTTCAAGTTATAAGATTCCTGCTAACAAGTGGTTGATCTTCTCTCTCTTTTAAAACCAAACTTCATATGAGAATTCTCTACCCTTGGGCGAGTCTTCAAATATTTGAGAATTCATTAAACAATCTTCATATGAGAAACCCGAGGGGCAAGCATAAATTGTCTCACAATGTTTTTTGCACAAGTAATATCTAGTTTGGTTAGGGATAAATGTCTAGCTTGGTAAGGGACAAATACTACAATTACAATAGGAGAATCACTAGAACTAAGAGATGAAGAATGACAGGAAGGTGGAAGATCACGAGGAGAGCTCATAGAGACAAAAGGAACAACATTATTCTTCCACTCTACTAGCCTCCCCATAAAGGGAATTACAAGAAAGCTAAAGCATAATTGGGACTCAAAGTAACAAACTTCCAATAAGATTGAGGATCAAAGCATTTTGTCGGCAAATTAAGAAATACAGGATTTGCAGCAAATTAAGAAATATATGATTTGATTGATTAAGAGATTTGAATAAATTTAGGAAATATCAGATTTGAATAATTTTAGGAAAGTCATATCCTAGGATTAAGGGAAAGATTTAGTCAATCCCTGATTGAGAGAAATTCTAGGGGTTTGTCTTTCTTATCTTTTCTTATTTAAGGTGTATGCTCAATATGTTTTAATCATCAATAAAGAAAATCTTCTTCTTTTCTCCCTCTATATTTCGCAGCATGTTATCAGAGCCTTAGGGTGGTTCGATCATGAATTTTAAGGCCGCCATGGTTGGCTCAGGTTCAGCATCTTCGGATGCTACCAGTGCTGTGACGTCTTCGGAGGGAGGTATTCAGCTTGCGGCTATTTCTCTTTCTGAGAATTCCCTTCAAATTACCATTCACAAATTGAATGGAAAAAATTATCTTGAGTGGTGTCAGTCCGTGTGGTTGGTGATTGACGGCAAAGGGAAACTCGACTACTTGAATGGCGAAGTAAAACCGCCAACCACTGATGATCCAAAGTACAGGCAGTGGCGTTCTGAAAATTCTATGGTTACCGCCTGCCTGATCAACTCTATGGATCCGGTGGTTGGAAAACCATTCATGTTTCTACCGACGGCTCGCGATGTGTGGGAAGTTGTTAGGGAAACCTATTCAGATTTGGACAATCATTCACAACCATTCGAACTAAATACCCGAATGTGGAAGATGCAGCAAGGTGAACGTGAAGTAACAACCTATTATAATGAAATGATGGCTGTTTGGCAGGAGTTGGATTTATTTGAAGAAGAAGAATGGGAAAGTCCCAGTGACGGTGCTCGGTACAAAAAGAAGATAGAAAGAGGTCGGGTTTTTGTCTTCTTGGCTGGTTTGAANTAGAAAGAGGTCGGGTTTTTGTCTTCTTGGCTGGTTTGAACAAAGAACTCGATGAGGTTCGGGGACGTATCTTAGGACGAAAGCCCTTGCCTACTCGGGAAACCTGCTAGAAGCTACACAGTTTTGTATGCCCTTGTTAGACAGTTTTGTATGCCCTTAGTTCCAATCAGTTTTGATGTACTTATGACATTTAGTGTAAATGAATAAAGTGCATGTCTGATTCATGTTGTGTGGTATGTTTCTGTATAAGACCCTTAAACTGGACACTTAATGAGACTCGTGTTAGTTTAGAATGTTCACAGACGTTGGATAAGTTTGGGGGGATTTATCCTGCCAAGGTTGACATTGGTGTACTGCCAAGTGTTGGGGTGGCCTGTCTCAGCTGACAGAGTGAGACCCAAAGCACATACAGTGTAGGATTACTTGAATCTTTGAACCGGACCAGATTTCTAGTATTGCCCTAGACCTTGGAGATTGATGGGCAAAACTGGAAAGTTACACCTG